CTTCCTTCTTCAGAGGAGCTCAGGCGCATGCAGGAGCAGATGCAGCGGTTGCAGCAGCAGCTGGAATCAAGCCAGAAGGTTTCCACTCCAGTCAGGGCTGCAGGGAGCTCGGCTGGTCCCAAACCGACGATCCCAAAACCGACACCCCCTCGACAGCCGACCCCAAAACCGACACCCCCTAGACAGACGACCTCCAAAGTGAACCAGGCCAAACCAGCCTCTACCACACAGAAGACCAAGACACAAGCTGGTAAACATTTTGTTCTTCATCAGCCACCGTGGTTGACAAATCCTGGAGACCTACTTTTACTATTTTATTTTAAACCTAAAGTGGAGATTAAATTAGAAAAAGACACAAAGTTGATTGTGTTTGTGTTTCCTTTGTCTTCTGACAGCAGCAACATCTTCATCCACTCCAGTCAGAGAACAAAGTGTGAAGCTCCAGGAGTCCTCAGACTTTTTCGATCAGCTGAACAATGCTGACTCCTTCAAGCGCAAACCCAGGGTAGCTCACCATCCCAAACCCAGCACCTCACCAGGTAGACCTTATCGATAAGCATTCATTTACAGAAACCAGAATTACTGAAACAATTCTGTCATTGGAAGTCGGGGTTTGAGTGTGTTTCCTTCACTCTTTTCTCGTCAGAAGACAGGGGGCCTCTGGTGGAGATAAAGATCGGCAGCTCCTTCCAGCCTGTAGCGAGCACCAGCAAGGACAGCAATCCTCTGCGTTCACCTCCAGCCTCTCAGAGCAGACCTGCACCAGCTGCCAAAGCAGGACAGCCTAAACCTTCTTCTCTCCCTCCTCTTCCTAAAGATGTGGGTGTTGAGAAATACTCAGGACTGCGGCTCAGGTGAGGACACCGAATAAAAAAACAAATCAACAGATGGAAGCCTGAAGTTTGAGTCTCATACAGACACATCCAGGCTTTTCTGCCGTGTGTCTGAATCTGGGCTCTTTTCCGTTTCAGAAAACCGCGGGTTTCCTCCAGCGAGATGGACCGCAAGATGGCCGACCGCCGCCTGATCCGCCTGTCGCAGGTGCCGGAGCGTTTGGCTCGGGAGAAGCTGGAGGACAGCGACTGGGTGACCTTCGGGGTGCTGGTCAACAAGGCCACGCCACAAAGCAACAGCAGTGTAAGTCTATGCTCAAACCTCTGTGTTTTACTGAATATTCTGATGTTACAAATCCCACCTATTTGTCTTGGCTTCAGAAAACTGATGGTGGGATGACGTACAGCCAGTGCAGTTCAGTAACCGACCGGCCAAGTGACGAAAGTCTCATTGGTTACAACAATGCAATGCATCCTAAGTTCCATTTAACTTGCAAAAATGAACATCTCAAATGTGTTGGAACCACCAGTGTGTACTGTCCCATTTTTGACTGAGCGCTTCCTCTCTGCAGGGCAAAACCTTCAGCATCTGGAAGCTGAACGACCTCCATAACATGGAAGTGTTCGTGTCTCTGCTCCTGTTCAGCGAGGTGCATAAAGAGCACTGGAAGACGGAGCCGGGCACCGTCATAGGCCTCCTCAACCCGAACGCCATGAAGCAGAAAGACGGATATGACGGGGTGAGTGGAGAGTCCGAACTGACTGTAATGTTCATTCATGGTAACTACTGTCTGCCAGAGTCTGAAGAGTCATTAAAAGATGTTTGACAATTTGTCACTGTGAAGTATGAAAAAACACTCACTCTCACTCACTTTTAGTTTTTAAAATGCACTGCAAGGAGTTTTTAACTGGCTATAAAACAGTCATAAATTTAATACTGAATGTTCCTTATTGCTGCTTTAACTAATGGAATAAAGTTCAGGGAGAGTTTCATTTTGCAGTGATTAAGTACAATGAGCTGGTTATTTTCATTCTCTTCTTACATCTCAAACGCTGCTGATGTTTACAAGAAGATGGACTGTGTGATAGACAGAAAGCGGGGTCAGAAGGACGTTGCGTGTCACTCTTTGCTCATTACTCTTGAAAATGAACAGTTTTTTACTCGCGGCGAAGCGTTAACCTTGTTTTATTTATATTTTACTGAACTGGTTTTACGATTTTTTTTGTCATCGGCTGGTTTGGCATTGAAGGCATCAGCCAATTAAAGCAGGAAACAGCCCGGCGTTGTTGTGAAAATAACCAGTCGCCGGTGTCGGCATCGCATGACAAACTGAGACGTTACAAGAGGAATGTGGCGAGGAAAGCCAAACTTACACACACACACACACACACACAGAGGGCAGTTTGAGTTCACAGAAGGAACAAGCTGTCACCTCCACTGCAGTAGTGTCTCAGTGGGATCATGCTGGTCAGAGCAGGTGATGTTTGTAGGGAAAAAACATTCATTCAGTCATTAAAACCCATTGTGGCTTTTGTATCTATTTTTTTGTATTCTAAGTGTCTTTTAATGCAAGTGTGCAGTGCTAAAATGGTGAGATAATTCTAGTATAGTTTCTTCCTTTTGTGGTTGTCCTTCCTCTTTCTTTCTCTTCTTTTTGTTTTTCTATTTTAAACGTTTCAGTATTGACATCCATCTTTGTCAGTTAATCTGTGGACAATGAATCATTTTGTGTATAAATTGTCTGAAAATAGTGGGGGAAATGCCCATTTTAATCTTTAGTAACCAATGATTTTCTGCCTTTTTGCTTGAAACATGACTGCAACGATTCATTTATTCTCAAAATAGTTAGAGTTCTAACGATAACAAGAAGTACACATTTAGTCCCAGCCATAAGACATTTGAATAACAAATTGCAAGAAAATAATTGTTATACTTTGTGGTTTGACTGGTTACTTATTGAACCTGAATCTTGTGTTGAACATGTGCAGGTGAGCCTGACGGTGGATCACCCACAGAAGGTGTTGCTGATGGGTGAAGCTCAGGACTACGGCACCTGCAAGGCCATGAAGAAGAACGGAGACCCCTGCTCTCAGATAGTCAACCTGGTGGGTGCAGCTTCACCGTGTGTGTGTGTGTGTGTGTGTGTGTGTGTGTGTTCCTCTCCCTAAATAAATCAACCTCACGTTTAAAGTACTCCATTGTGTCTCACAGCCCTTTCTGTGTGGTTGTCTGTTTACAGTACGAGTGCCAGTACTGCCAGTATCACGTCAAGGCCCAGTATAAGAAGATGAGCGCCAAGAGGGCCGAGCTGCAGTCGTCGTTTTCTGGAAAAGCTCCCAACAAGGTGAAGGGGAAGGGCGGCAGCCTGAGAGACCGGCTGTGTCAGGACGGCTTCTACTACGGCGGTGTGTCCTCAGCTGCCTGCGCCTCCTCACTGTGAGTGATGTTCGATGTAGTCCTTCCTTTATTGCACAGTCTCTAATCAGTGCATTCAATAATAATCAATGCAGTAATACTGAAAGCCCCCATTTGTGCGATCGTGACATTTTTAGTCAAGTCCTACTCATTGTATCCAAAAGACACTGTTGCAGACGATCACACATACCGAGGTCACAATCGCGTCTAATTTGGATTCTGGCTGCAGTTGTATTTACACTTTTACAGCGTGTTGAAGTCAATTTGTGCAGGACTAACTGCAACTTACAAAGCCAGGAACGCTGTGTGACTGGGTGAGAATGTGGGCTGCCCGACCAGTAACAGGTCTGTGTGTTGCAGAACGGCGTCCAAACCGAACAAACCCGCCCAGAAGACTCTGGACTCGCTGTTTGTGAAGGGCTCGGCTCAGCTCATCCATCAGGCCAAAAAGCTGGGTAAGGACACACACACACACAAACCTCAAAACTGTCAGTTGTTGTCAATGGTTTTGTCTAACCTTATTTTGTTTAAATAAAAATAAAAAATTTAAATGTTTTAGGGTTTTACAGCTAAAAATGTCTTGTCTACAATACAATGAACAAAATCAAGTTACCTAAGCACATGTTTTAGTTGGAGTCTTGACAGTGATGTTTTTTTAAATTGTCTTTTGTTTGTTGTTTTTAGGCGTGCAGTCCGGAGAAGTTTCAGGTTGTTCAAATGAATTTAAGAGCCTGTTGTCGATGCCAACACCCGGAGCTCTGCAGCTGAAGAAGCACTTAGTAAAGGGCAACCAAACAGGTACTCAACCTGGAAATATCTCTGTGCATTACTAAGAAGCTAAGAATGAGGTAGTTAATTGAATTTTGTCAGCCTGGGTTGGTACGGTCGCGTGATGTTTATGTCGTTGTCCATCCTCAGTCTCCAAAGATGCATCCGAAGCTCCACTTCAGTCCATCACAGCCTCAGACCTGCTGAAGCAGCAGAAACAGAAGCAGCGGGAGTTTCTGCAGAACCGCCGGCGGAGGGCAGATGAGATCCAGAAGAAGGTGCTGCAGAGCTCAGCTGGACCCGGGTCGTCGTCGTCGTCACTGGGCCGGAATGGTCTTACGTCCCCGAAAGCAGCTTCTGAGGCCCCTAAGGCCACCCGAAGCCCTCCAACTCCCCACGCCCCCACCCTGGGCCGAGGCTTCTCTGAAGGGGAAGACATCCTCTTCTTTGAGAACAGCCCGCCACCGGCGCCCGCCCCCAGCGCTTTCCTATCAGCCACCAAGCTGGCTGCTCTGAAGAAACTGAGAGCCAAAGGGGCCGGGCTCGAAAAGGAAGACCCCAACGCTGTGAAGAGGAAGAGGAGTAACGACACTGAGATCAACGCCCGGGTGGAGAAGAATCTCACCTCACCCAAAGGTACACACACACACACACACACACACACAACACACCAGTATTCAAATAATCTAAACGTAAATAAAGACAACAGAGCCAAGTACAGAAAAGTCCTTGTATTTTTTTGTATCTGTGCTGTAGCACAACATAAACCTAAGCAACACTAGATATTTTACTTGGTAGCAGCATTTTTATTGATTGTTATGAATATAAATATAAATCTATGCATGGCAATGGACGACGAGCTCACTGACAAATGTGAAGAATTTTGATTTGATTAGTACAATTTAGAATTCTGCATTAAGTCATATATAAAAGGACCTTATTGTTGCTTATATTGCTTGTTATAACCTGTCCTTTTTACTTTCTGTTCAGGTGACTCATCCAGTAACGGGGAAGAGGAACCTGCCCAGAAGAAGAAGAGAGAGCTCCTCTACGTCCAATCAGAGGAGTTCCAAAAGATCCTCAGTGCCAAATCTCGCCACGATGTTGTTCTACAGGCGGTACGAATAGTGTTCTGACATCTGTTAAGACATGCTTTTCTTAAACTGTTTAGATTTAAAGGTGCTGCACTTTGATATAAAGGAGCTGCATTATTACATTTAAAACATGGGTGTCTGAAATAGGACATTTCTAATTGAATCTGCTCTCTGTCAGGCGGAGTACCAACTGCAGGAGCGCTACTTTGATCCTCTGGTGAAGAAGGAGCAGATGGAGGAGAAGATGAAGGGCATCAGAGAGATGAAGTGTCGTGCTGTTTCCTGTAAAAAGGTGCCATTTTAAATTTACACCTGTTTGGTGCTATATAGTTTGTTTATGAGATTGATCTTTAAGATAATGTTGCTACCTCGCTGTAATAATCATAAATGTGAGCATGGTGGAGATACCCCCCTGGCTGTCTCTCAGTTAGAAGTAGGAAAAGTAAGCTCTTCTTTCCCATGTTCCTTTGCTTCCAGTGTAGTTACACTTACTTCAAGCCGGCGGATCGTTGTGTGGAGCAGAATCATGATCTGCGGTGGCACGATGCTGTGAAACGTTTTTTCAAATGTGCCTGTGGACAGAGAGCCATCGCTCTAGACAGACTGCCCAACAAACACTGCAGGTAAGACTCTTAATGTCCCTCAAAGCTCCTGTCATCTCTTCCTCATTCCTTTGGTAGTTTTTCACCGTTCTGTCTGGTTATGGAAACATTCATGTACATTATAACTAATGTTTTGTTTACCATTTCAGTAACTGTGGTCTGTTTAAATGGGAGCGTGACGGGATGCTGAAGGTAAAATCTCCCTCTGGCTCAAAGATCCTTTGAAAATCAAAACAATATTTCATTGTGGTGAAAGAAAACAGACCTAATGTTGCTCCTTTATGTTTTATTGCAGGAAAAAGCTGGACCGAAGCTCGGAGGAGAGCTTCTCCTGCCTCGAGGAGAGGAGCACGGCAAGTTCCTCAACAGCAAGTGACAGCGCCAAGCCGGTAGTTGTGGGAACATGTGTTTTATGTTTGTAATTTAAGTGTGTGTAGCATTTTTAAATTTGTATGAATTATGTTTTTAAAGTTTGTTTCTTGTGTTATGGATTATGGAGACTTTCATGTCTGTGATTATACTGGATATGCTGGAAATGAGCTGATTAAAGTCACAATTTGCAATATTTCATGTCAGATGTCTGTTTCTACTCAACACTGTAGTGATAAAAAAGCATTGTGGTGCAGACCTCAAAAAGTTTGAAGTTTAATACTAGATTGATTCCTCCTATCTAAACTGTTTCTCAAGCTGCTAATAAGAAAGTTTCAGCAATGTAAAACATTAATGATTTATTCTTTCTGAATCTCAGGGCTTTCTTTCATAGTCAAACTTTTGCATCAACAGAGACAGAATATAAACACCCATATAATGCAGAGCAGAGATCGAGTTTGTGTGTATAACTAAAGCACTTTTATTATACCAGTAGGGAGTTATTATACTACTGACTTTAAGAAACCCATTTGCTGTTTTATCTTTCTTTAACAGTAAGGTTTGGGGTTTCGGAGGGATTGAACCAGTATCCTGTATCAGGACACAACCATCCTCTAACACACTCCATGTGTTGGCATGATGACTGTTGAGGCCAGGTGGCGCTCATTCAAGTCAGCGAGTGAATCCACGTGGCCTTGAACTAGAAAAGTCTGAGGTGGAATCACAGTATGGAGACAAAATAAGGCTTTTGCAGTTTAAACTGTGTGATTAGCATGTACCGAGTGCCATGCCACATCATTCTGAGGGTTTCATTTGTGCTCATTATGCCTTTGCTACTTTTCCCCCCTCTCGTGCACCTCCTCTGCCTCTTCTTTGCCCAGTTTGTGTCTAATATTTCCACTCTGGAATGTGGAATTCATTTCAGCCTGATGACTTCTGCAGCTCGCCTCATCTTCTCTTTTATTCCACACCGCCTCCCTCCCCTGAAATACTCCACATACCAGACAGTGCAAGTGTGAGTTAAATCACGTCAGTGGTCTGGAAATCAGGAAACTCCTCTTTATTTGTTATTTTGACTTAAATACATAAAGTCAGTTTCTTTGCACAAATAAAGTTACAATCCCCCTCTGACAAAACAAGTCAGCTGTTAACATAAGAGCGAGCTTGATTTATTGCTGCTAATGCCTCAGGCTAACATAAAGGACATTGTATAGCTTGTATGTACATGTAAAAAAAAAAAAAAGGCAGTAAAAACAAGCATGCAAAACATATAGCCTCCAATGAATATTATAAAATGTAGCTTACAATATAAAAGCTGCACTTTTAATACACTTTACACTTATTGCACAATTTATGTTTCATAAAATAGACAAAGAAAAGAAAGAAATCTTTATAATGTAGATTAAAGTAGGGAGAAATATGGAGATAACTTTAGCATTTGTGAACAGTATTAGCACTGCTCAAAAAAGCGAGGTGCTGTAGTCTGGCCCTCCATGCGACAGCTCAGTGGAACCAGTGGTAGCGAGGATAGAGGCCGTCGTAGTGATACTCCCGCACCTGCTCATTCTTCTCCCTCGATCTCTCATTTTGCTCTGTAGATAAAAAAAGTTCAAATAATGTAGCGATAATCAATATTTTAAAAATATTTTTACACTAATTCAGTCAATTCAGCTAATAAATACAGTTCGGGTCTGGTTTTACTTGTTTTATTTTTTTAATCCTGTTATCTTGAGATCAAGAGTTAATTTATCTCATTATCTTGGGAAAACAAAAAGCAGATTTCTCAAGATGAGAAAATCACAGGGATTAATGGAGGACTCAAAAAATAGTGACATTTGTGTTCATTTGATCACCTGATTTGAGCCTTCAATATCACTGTAGGATTGGTCGCAGGATTCATAACTGAACTGAAAGAGTTCATTTGTAATGTGATGCAATACTTACAAAATATATCAGGAGAAGATTGAGGTTTATTATGCTCAAGACAGTTTCCGTTTTTTTATTCATGAACTTTTCACTGGCTGCTGGCTCATTTTGGTCAGCATGAAAATGAATATCAACTGGCATACTGCATGTCATTAATCTGCTTTATTACTTATTACTTACTATTTATGCATATGACAGTTTTATTATTTGGTATATATCTATTTCTTGTTCTTAGGTGTTTGAAAGAAGCACTTTTACATTTTGGTTGTATGACAAGTGCTATACAAATAAAGTCTGATGAATTGATCCCTCCATGCATTGTCCATTATGTTGAACCAATACTACATCTATAATACAACCTCTATGTATGCTGGCATGGCACTCCTGATCTTTGATAGATAATTTATTAACAGGAAGTTATTAAAAATGTTGTTTTCTCAGGATAACAAGGCCTGTTTTTTCAAGTTAACAAAATAATTTACTTGTGATCTTGATATAACAGTAGTTAAAAAAATAATTGCAAGCTTGGCCATTTTTGGCTTCCGTAGTTCCGGGATTTGGAGGAGATCTTTTTGTTTTCCTAAAAAAACTGACCCAAACGCTGTTTTCTTAAACCAGTCACGTCTTTATGGTCAGCCGTTCTTAGTTTAGAAACTGTCACTGCAACTATATCACATTGGATAGACAACCGCAGGGAAGATTGTCAGCTTGGGGTCGACCACAAATGGACACTTTGATATGGTGTGGAGTCTTAGGCACTCTGCTGTGGTCCAGAGGCTCGTGGGTGCCATGAACTTCATTCAAGACCCAAACTAAAATCTTTCTAGAGTTTCTAAGATAAATGCCAGGTTTTTTGCAAGGATCAATTAAAGGTCTGCCCTCACAACGTGAGATAAGGTGCGAAATTAGCTTATGTTTAACTGAATACAATGTATGCTTTGTTTTTCTGGTTTTCATTCAGTGTCTCGGAACAGTGGATTTGAAATGTTAAGCTTGCAGTAGGAGGGGCGGAGGCGAGCGAGGTTGTGCTGAAATTCATGCTTTCGTTCAGGGATGCCTGGGGGGCCTCGACAACGAAAACAACCAATCAGAGCCGAGAACGATACAAAACAGCTTTGGTTAGGTTGTAGGCTTGTAGTAATTGAATATGCATTCATGATGTTACTAAATACCGAGGGTCACATAAAGTGGATATTACTGTATTTGACGCCTTCGGATCTAGGGATATGTTTACATGATACCATATAAACGCCTGGATCTCGGCATATCTTTACAAATACATTGCGCCTGAGGTTAGGTCTAAGAAGAGCACGTAAGGAGAGCCAGTGAGGAATAGAAAGCAGCTACAATTTTCACTAGGCAATTATGTCTTCGTATACTCTTGCTGGGGGATCGTCAACAGATCCTCAGTGATAATGCTCAAACGAGTTTCAAGCAAATATGAATAAAATAAAAATGTGATGTCTCTTATAATAATAACAAATGACCTATCTCCGCGAGTAAGGCTTAGTGTAGTAAATTTCAGAGATATTCTCAAGACAAGGGGATGAGAAGACCATATTTTAACTTCTGGTGAACAGTAGAAAAGGTCAAGGAATCAGTTCCATTACGATTCCATCTCAGGGACGGCATGAATATCTGTACATTTTAATGTCAAAGCACTGTCAAATAGACTGGTTGAGTGTGTTTCAGTCCCTGGGAGCCAAGTGAACCAATTAGACAGCCATAGCCACGTAAACTATTAGCTTGCCTCAAAAATCCCACACAGGCAGCTATCCAGTACAACAATGTGTGTTTAAGGTAAGAAAGTAGTATGTCTGCACCTGCTTCATCGTATGCAGTGTATCTATGAGAGTGGTGTAAAACAGATAGCAATGAATAGTTTGGATTTAACTTTGAGTACTGTTTGTTCTTTTTTCGATTACAGCACGACGTCAGAGGGTAAAGAGTCCTTATCTGATAAACGAAGCCAAGTAGAGGGAGTTACAAATTTTGCGAGAGCAAAGGAATTGATGTTTTGACGAACTACGTTGAGGGGAGTGGAGCGCTCGCATTGGTAATGACCTGGATGCAGTCTTTAGTTGTTTCATTTAAACGCTTTCCTCTTCTTTCTTCGTTTGAAATAAAGGTAAGAGTCATCAGAATTTTTTGTGGATATTGTGAATTTAGGCTAGTTAATATATTTAAGGGTAGATCAACAGCTATATGGGGACTAAATTAAATAATGCTCTACTCGCTAGGGACATGTTATTGTTAGGCCGGCTCATCCACTCACAAGCATAGAAAACCAATAAATTACAATTATTTTTTGTGCGCGAGAGACACATGTATCGAGTCCACATTAATGTACGATCAAATAACTGTTAAACAAGTAAATACAAAGTCATAACATCATTTAGTTTCATAACAAAGCTGCAGTTAGGTACGAATTATTATGTTATTCGATAAAAAATATATACGAGAAATAAATGTCGTTAATTGTATTCTCCATCAGATGTAATGTGAAAGTAGTATAAATTTAATGAGACGTTGGCTCAGCCAGCAAAACTGTTTTAAGGACAGAATTATCAAATACATATAGCTTTTTACCCTGTTGAACTGAACGGTTAACGACTGAAGGCAAAACAAGGGCTGCTGGCTCAGGCTTGAAAGCTGCTGATTGGGGGTTGAGCTTGGTCACGTCAGATCTTGATAACTCTATCGAAGCTTTTTTCTTCTTAACACGATTACATTATTCGTATTAATTACGACTTTATTCTTGTAAACATTACTACTTTATTCTCGTAATATTAAATGACTTTATTCTCGAATTTTTCCCAAAAAAATTTAAAATGTTTTTTCTTAGTATGGCCTAATTACTCCGTCGTAATGCCCTCCTAACATGAAAAAAAAAAAATTTCACACAATAGAATGATTCTAGATTTTTGTGACAAGCAATTTGGAGAAAATGCTTTGTAATTTAAAATACAATAT